GAGTTTTTAGAACAGCCTGGGATATATGATCTGCTGTCACTCTCAGACAGTCTGCTGGGGCCATGGTTCACACTTAGGGTCTCTGGGCCCCAAAGCCACTATTTCTGAGTTTGTATCATTCAGTTCTGTGGCCTTGAGCCAGTGACGTAATCTCTCTCAGCCTTGAATGATCCTCTGTAAAATGGGGCGAAAATAAAGGCTCCTCTCCGGGGGTTCGAGCAGTTAGGCACATGGGAGGTACCCAACTGTCTTAGCTTCACTACCTCAGTTACCCTAGAAGGACTGACCTGTATTCCCCTGCCTGGGGACTTGAGGTCATTGCTCTTTGGGTGGCTTCGGCAGCCTGCCTGCCTTTTTTGAGCCTCACATTCCCCATCTGTAGTATAGACATCACTGTAGCTGCCCCCGAATGCCCACCGCAACCCCCAGGTGTCCTGGGGGTCCCCAGGCAGCTGTGCCCAGCAAACCCCAGCTCTCCTCTGCCTTTCTACTTGGGGGTCATGTTGTGGTCATCTGGCAGCTTGTGCAGCCCAGGCAGGGTCAGGTAGCTTCAAGACCCCTGGTGGGCTCCGGGCGCTGTGCCTGACCTCTCTAGACCACACATTGGGAACCCCTCGCCTCTCTTGGAACGCTCAGCCTGTCGCTTGTCATTCGTCTCCCCTAGCTTGAGAAGGGCCTGAATTTGGTCCTTGATATTAACTCACGCCCTTTCCTAGAAGCCTCCTGGTTTCCATGGCTGATGCAAATAGCTGGGGCAGGGGTGGCATCGCCCTGGTCCTAACTCCCTATGTGGCCAGTTCTCCCCAACCATCGACTGGGAGGACCGTGCCAGCTCAGGGAGGCTGACATGAACCTCAGACCCAATCACCTCATTCTGACTCCCCCACTGGGGACTCACCAAACACGTACAAGGATCTTGCATCTGCTCCAGGAACTGCTGTCCTGACTTGACTTCTGGGTGGGCCACCCATGTGACCTTGGGGCAGTCCTCAGGCCCTGTGAGCCTCATGCCTCCTCATCTGTCTAATGGGAGGTGGGTGGTGCCAGCCTATTTCTGGGGAAGCCTGAGGCACCATTCCTATGGTTCCTGCCCCAGCTCTGCTCTCAATCTGCCCAAGGCTCCCCATTGCCATCCCCATAAAACCAACTGTTCTCCAGGCTCTGCCCACCTCCCAGCCTCATCTTCCCCATACTCCTTTTTAGTTGTCTTCCTAGCCACGTCAGCCTCCCTACCTCTGGACCTTTGCACATGCTGTGCCTTGCATGGAGCACCTTTCCCCCAGCCCTCCTCATGGCCAGCTCCTTTCTGGCACTAGGTTCCAGCTCACATGTTGCCTCCATGGGGATACTGCTAGTTCCCCTTCACTGGCACACTCGTCCCATCACCTTGTGTGTTCTGTCTCTGAGCTGTAAGCTTGTCCGAGGTCACCTTGCTTATGTGCTTTCCTGTTTGTCTGCTCCCTTCTGTCCGTGAGTTCCATGTAGGCAAGCTCCTGTTTTCCTTCTTTTCTCCAACTTCCTGTAAATGTTTTTGAATATACACCTAAGTAATAAGGGGGTGATTTGGAGGGAAGGCCTCTGCCCCCACAGCTCCAATGTTCTCCCCTGGGCTCCTGGCCAGCCTTCCTCCAGCTGCAGGCTTCTTTGGGGAGGCATGGCTCTAGCTTATCAGCCCTTCACACCTTAGTCTGAGAAAATGGGCTTTGTCAGTGGGTGTGGCTCGGGGTCTGTTTGGACCCAGGGTGGGTAGGCATATCACTGAGGTTGGGTTCCAGGCTCTGCTCTGCCACCTGAGGTGAACCTCAACGTCCTCTCCTGAAAACGGGTTAAGTGTGTTGCTACACAGGGCCACGGCTCCCAGCAAGGCACACAGCCCCTCTCTAAGGAGTGCTTGCCATCCTCGTGGACTGACATGGAAACCAGGGCTGAGGAGGAAACTACTGCAAAGGAGGGGCCAGTATACTCAGGCAATGACCCTACTGCTGTGTGCTCAGTATAGCTGAGCTGTGGCCCAGCCTCTCTGAGCCTCTGGAAGGCTGAGTGAAACTGCCTTGAAACCAGTTGGGTTTGGCTGTCAACGCTGCTACATTCAGCAGGTGTCCCTCCAGCCAGAGGAGGACCCAGGGTCCTGGGTTATAAACACATCTTTGAGAGGCAAGGCCTATGAACCCCATTTCCAGATGAGAAATAGACTCCTTGGCATTTGAGGGGCCACAGTGGGATGAGAACCCAGCTTGGCCTGCCTCCACGCTCCTCCTCTTGCCCGCGTTGCTAACCTGACCTTGGGCAAATGGCTCTCTGGCCTCGGTTGATTAAGCCCTGTCACTATGCCCAGGCCTGGCTCACAGCCATCGTGTCAGATGATTCCTGGGATCCCCGCGAGGCAGAGGAGACTGGGGGGCAGAGAGACAGTGTCCTACCCAGAGGCAGCCAGGCTGACACAGAAGAGTTAGGATCCCAGGCACCCTGGCCAGGCACAGCTGAAGTGCCCATAGTGGGGGTGTCAGTTGCTAATGCCAAGGGGCATTACTGGCCATTGTTGGAAGGCAGAAGGGAGGTTGACCGGCGCCAGCATGCTGACAAGCAGACAGAAGCCAGAACCCAGGCATTGCCTTTGGCACCCTCTGGAGAGGCAGCCTAGTGCTGGGCTGCTGCCTGACCCTTGTCTCAGTTGGCACTGTACCTAGGGGTACTGTGGGACCTTCCAGGAGCTCGCTGCCTTCCTCCCAGGGCCTGACAGGTAGGTGCTGTGAGCAGGGACTCTTGTAGCATAAATATCTCCTTCTTTGGGTGGTAAACCCCACCCATAGTTGGTCTATGTCCACATTCCATGAAGCGCTATTTACAGAAAGGGAACAGGCCCGGAGAACAGTTTATCCATCACCAACACTCAGCAAGTCCTGGCTGTGGACCAATAAAGTTGTCAGTGTTTCACTTCCATTCATTTTGTTAGTGCTGCCATTAACCCTGGGAGGTAGTTGGAGAAACTGAGGGAGAGAGTTTGAGTCACTTGCTGAAGGTCTGGTAGCCAGCAAGTAAAAAAGAGCAGGGACTCAAACCCAGCCTCAGGCCCTTCCAGCAAGGAATACCTGTAATGTGAGGATCAGTTTTCTCATCTGCAAAGTGGGTGCTGTCTCCCTCCTTGCCCCCCGCCCCCAACCATCTAGAAATCAGGTCACGAGATGGTGTTAGGGAAGCACCCAGCCCAGTAAGGACCTGATACCCATTAGGTGTTCAGCAGACCTCAGAGCCCTCCTCTTATCCAGAGAGCAGAATGGAGACCAGAGTCTGGAAGTTGCTGGAAAGCAAACCACAGCTGGGAGGTATGGAGAGAGGCCCAGGTGGGAATATCATGAATCAGATGGTGGCCTCAGGCTAGTGACATCCACAGTGTGAGCCTTGATGTTTTCCCCCTCCTCCATACTAGGAGGCAGTTGTGCTGTTGTGGATTAAGCACCTAGCAGGGGGCTTGCACAGCCCTGAAATGTGAACCCTTATTAAGGTCATCCTCAGGTTTGCTCCCTCCCAGGATTCTTTGGCTATGAACTTGATCTCCACCAACTATACCCTGCACCTCGAGGAAATAAGAGCCAGTATCTGGGAACATTTATAACCCTCTCCACCCTGGCCCTGGAGATTAAGGGAGTGCACTTAGTGAGTCAGGAAACTGGGTGGGCTTGGGCGAGGTGCCAGTGACACAATGGAGCGCTGGATGGCAGGTGTCTTCTCTAACTGCTGGCGTCTATCTGCAGAGAATCCCATGAACCGCACCTCACAGAGAAGCTGAGGCCCATAGGCCAGACAGACCTGCTGAGGGTCAAATGCTTTCACCAGAATAAGACAAAGGCTGGGATAGAAGTTCTCACAGGGAAGCCACCCAAAAAAGGAAAGATTAAGGTGTAGCAATCATTGTCCCCTGAGGAAACAGATCCACAAACACCTTGGCCAAGGTTGTGTGGTGGGCGTGTAGCTGGACATGGATTCGACCCAGACCGCTCAGGCCTCTGGTGGTTCTTCTCTGATACTGCCTTACCCCACTTGCAAAGAGCAGGTTGCTCTAAATTCACCCCCAGATTTAGCCACTTGAAGCGCCGTGGGCATGGAGCTTGACCTCTCTGCCAATGGTGGCTTTGACCTCCTAGGATCAGGATTAGTTTTCAGTTAATTCACAAAAGGCTTATCCGGGAGAAGGCCTGATGGGGATATCATGAACTCAGAGAAGTCAAACATTTCCAGAAACCACAAAGCTCGTAGGTAGGATTCCACCTGTTTCCACATCTTCATAACAACCTGGAGCTGCAGAGGACAAGCCCGAGTGACCTCAGAGAGTCTGCCCTCTCCGTGTCTTTAGCAGAGAAATAATGGAGAGTGAAAGAATGGAGAATTATCCCAGGAATCTTTCAGCCGCGATGGCCCATGTTCACAGCCAGAGTTGGAGGTCTTGCTTCTGTGCTGTGTGGTCAGAAGGACAACCTCTTTGACATAGCCTCAGGGGACCCTGCCTGGGGCGTCCGAGGCCATCTACGGCAGCCGCCCTCCGGGCCAAACTCTGCACCTTGCACACGCCAGCCGGCTCGGAGGTGCACCGCCCACTGCCCCTGCGACCGGCCTTTGGGCCTGCCTGTCTTCGACTTTGTAGCCAATCCTCATCGCCCTCCAGGCTACGCCCTCCGTTCTTCTCGAGCCAGCCGCGCCAGCCACTTCTCTTGCCCCCCAGGGATTGGTCGTCAGGGCTGCTCGTCTTCCGCCAGAGTTCCAATCTTCGCCTACCTCCAGGCCCTCACCTCCTGGCACCTCGCACCCTGAGGGACCACCTCTGGGACCAAAAACCTCACCCAATAGCCCGCCTTTGCCCCTCAGTGATTGGCTCTAGGGGCTGCCTGTCTGTTTCATGCTAACCAATCCCAGTCTTTCCAAACGCTGATTGGCCAACGCGCAGCCAATCGGAGCGTGGCGTGGACCCCTCCCGCGGCGCGCGCTGAGGGTGCGCGAGGCGGGGCCGTGGTGGCCGGAGGCGGCGGCGGCGGCGGCGGTGGTGAAGGCGACGCGTCCCAGACGGTGAGGGGGAGCAGGGGGCGCGGGGTGGCGCAAGCGTCGGAGGGTCCGCTCCCCTTGGGCCGAGCGAGGGCGAGGCACGGTCCTGTCATGTGTCCTGGGGCGGGGGCGGACGAGGCAGGGCGTGACAGCAGCGTCAAAGGGGCAGGGAGAGGTTAACCCCCCCAATCCCTGCACCCCGTATCCGGTGCTCCCTGGGGACCCTCCCGGCCGAATCTGAACCTTCACGGTCAGTCCGCGCACACCTGACACTACGTCCCTTCTTGTTGACAATCCCCCCCCCCCCCCCATACACCTGATACTGCCCACTTCTCTGACATTCCCCACACCTCTAGAGCCATGCCCCCAGGAGCTCTGCACAGTTGAGGCTTCACACCCACAGGCATCTGAGTCTGTACCCCCACTGATATTCTCTCACACACCTGACATTGCACACCCCCACATCACCTAAGATCGTCCCTCTTGGTGACATCTCCACACCCAGATCCATGCACCCCCACCTCTGCAACAGGGCCTACATCCCCTACTATACCCATGCCTGAGCCTGTGATGCTAAACTCTGGCCCCGCACTCACACCTGGTCCGGGTCATATCCCCTCACTGACTTTGCTCACATCCAGGTCTGTGCCCTTTTCACTTGCCCCCTCCCTTCAGCAACTCGGGTCAGGGTCCTCAGGTACTCTCCCCCTACCCCTGCATCTGCCCTGTGCCTTTACAGTTCCTCTCTCCATCACACACCCTCAGTCTGTGTGCCCACCCGTACCTTCTTACAGGTGCACCCATGTTTGTGCCCCTCTCTGTAATCCTTGAACCCTTCCCCCACCCTAGGTCCTCTACCCTCCCCCACCCAAAAGAAAAGCCCACCCAGATGTTATATTTTCATTTATGAGAGTCTATAAAGTAACTTCTAGGCTTAGAATAATCCCTTTGGCCGGACGAAATTACAATTATCTCCATTTTACCAGCAACAAACCTAAAGGGACTTCAGTTGGGGAGGCAGAGCCCATCCCTCCTTGAGCATTGCTGACTCTTCTCTGTAGACCTTCCCTGTTTTTGCCCATCTGTTGTGCTTATCTCTGAGGGATTGGCAGGGGAAGGGACCCCTACCTTCCCTGCAGCTGTTCCTCAGGAGTCATGACTTTGAGTCCAGAAAGACTGAGCTGGAAGGGGTGGCCCCTGATTGTTGCTGTAGCACGTGTCTCCGAGTCCTGGGGCTGGGTGGGGGTGGGGACCTTGCAGGAGTGGGACTTCAACACCTGGGGTGCCACCAGAGGCTAGGTCACCTGGGAGGGAGCCGCTGGCCTCCCGCCTCTGGCTCCAGCTCTTGCAGACTGAAGCCCCTCACTGACCCTCAAGACCTCCTTGGGCCCTTAAAGCTGATAAACCTGGAGAGTAAGGAAACACTCTTCAGAGTGAGGCGAGCTAATGTTACAGCCACTTAGAGCCAAACTGTAAAACTGGAGCCTGGTGTGGTGCTGGGACTAATGATTTTTCTGGAACTTTTCAAGTTCCCTGGAGTGTAATTTGCAAGTGTGCAGCGTAGAAGGAGCGGGTGGCTTTGTTGTTGAAAAGTAGTAGTGTGGTGTGGTTTCCTGTAAGGTTTGCATAGTGCATCTTACCCCCCTTCGGTCTCTCCCTGCAAAGATGGTGCCAGAATATTCTGGAGGGTCACCTTCAGCTTCTCCTGGGGAAACTGAAGCCATTGGGGTTTTCTGTCCAAATTCAAAAGGAGTCATTTAAAACGTGTGTGTTTACGTATGTGTATGTATATGCTTATAAGTAGATATACACATGTATGTACATCACACTCATATATGCATAGACACACATTTTATAAATACAGATGTATACACATTTCTTATATATACATACACAAATCTATAAAATTTGACAAGGTAATTGATGTACGTGGTAAAAAAAAAAAAAAAAAAAGTCCAAAAGGGCATCCAGTGAAAATTAAGCACGTCTCCCCTTATCTGCACTCTGCCCTTCTAGAGGCATCCATTGTTAATTGCCCTCTTTCCTTCCAGAGATAGTCTATGGCGTGGGGGAATGATGTATATCCCCCACCTCTTCTAAACCCCTGATACATTTGCATGAGCTTTTTATCAAATGGGTGTGCCAGTGTAATAGCCAGTCCCTCGCTGATGACTGTTCAGGTTGTCACTCGTAGCTTCTCTTGCAAACTGAGCTTCAATGAATAGATGGAACCATGCATGAGCAAATATGGAATGAATGTGCGTGGGGCTCCAGCACAGACCCTTCGAAACCTCCCTGTCTTCCTGGAACTCCCATGCCAAAGGGCATGTCCGTTTAAATGGTTAATGTTCCTCCAGAGAGGCTGTGCTGCCATCAGTTGTCTCTCGGCTGTGAAGGTAGAATTCTTGTTTTCTCTCCCAGCATCCAGAATAGATATTATCAAGTGTTTTGGTCTCTCCAGTCTGATAGGTAAAGCACAGCCTACGAGATCCTTTTGAACACTTCTGTGCTTTCTATCCATCTCTTTGGCGTTCTAGCCTGGGTGGTGGTGATTAAACATTATACTTCTGTTTCTCTTCCACAGTTAGACTAACGTTCAGTCCAAGAACTATTTGAATCCCTTCTCTGTGGAGCTCTGGAGGAAACCTTGGGTGTGGGGGGGGGGTCCCTGCAAGACAGAGACATGGGTATTGGCCACAGTCCTGGGAGGGGAGGTCTTAAGATGTCTAAAATTTTTTTAAGAGGTGTAAAAGTTTTTTTCCCACTCGGATCCAGCAAGATCACTTGGGTGTCAGATGAAATTGAGATAAGTCAGATGTAAATCTTTTGGGGAAGCTGTCTTGAGATTCTCTCGAGTCGTCGGCTGTTGCCCACTCTTGGTGCCAGGTGGAGAGCACCTTTTGACTGAGGCCAGGCCTTTTCGCACCTGTCATCCTGTTTTTCTGTGCTTCTGTTTTGGCAATTAGACAATACAGGAATACTGAAATGGTCAGAACTTTCAGCTTGGTTAGGTTTTGCAAACCAGCTCTTTTTAAAAACACATATATTCTTTATTTTTATTGTGAAACACTTAATAAAAAGTATATGATGTGCACATGAAAAGAAAGTATAAAGGATAACGAAGCTGATACTTAGTTGAAGAAGTAGAACATTGCCTCCGGCGGCCCTTCCTTCATCACTGCACTATTTTTAAAATATGCTTGTCAACGTGTGTTTTCTTTGCTGAGTACCTTTTGCTGCAGCTGAATGCTTGGATTCTAGGGTCTTAACAAAGATCAGCAGAAGCCAAGTTTTCTATCAAAGCTGTGTCAATAGGATGACCTGAGAGGTCCACGGAGGGAAGCAGGAACCTCAGGTTCTTGGGCAGGTCACCAGCCAGTACCAGGAGCTTTGATCTTAGAAGACTCCTGTCTAGTTAGTGTCCTGGGCCTGCTGTGACAAATTACCACAAGCTGGGTGGCTTAAGACAAGAGAAAGTTATTCTGTCATAGTTGTGGAGAGCAGAAGGCCAAAATCAAGGTGTTGGCAGATGCTGTAGATGGAATGCATCTGTCTCCCTAAAATTCATATTTTGACTTTTTTTTAATGTTTATTTATTTTTGAGCGCGAGTTGGGGAACGGCAGAGAGAGGGGGGAGACACAGAATCCAAGGCAGGCTCCAGGCTCTGAGCTGGCAGCACAGAACCTGATGCGGGGCTAGAATTCACGAGCTGCAGGATCATGACCTGAGCCGAAGTCGGACGCTTAACCAACTTTGCCACCCAGGCACCCTAAAATTCATATTTTGAAACCTAATCCACAGCGTGATGGCATTAGGAGGTGGGGCCTTAAGGAGGTGAGTAGGTCATGAGGGTGGAGGCCTCATGAATGGGATTAATGCCCTTATAAAAGAGGCCCTGCCCCTTCTGTTTTATGAGGCACAGCAATACATTAGCTGTCTGTGAACCCGGAAAAGTGCTGTCACCAGACACTCAGTCTGCTGGCACCTTGATTCTTGGACTTTCCAGCCTCCAGAACTGTGAGAAATACATTTCTGTTGTCCATAAGCCACCCAGTTTATGGTCTTCTGTTACCAGCCCAAACAGACTGAGACAGCAGGTCGGTTTCTACTGAGGGATCTAAGGGAGAATCTTACCAGGCCTCTCTCCTGGCTGTGGTAGTTGTTGACAATCTTTGGGGTTTTGGCTTGGAGCCACATCATCCCAATCTCTGCCTCCATCTCCACACAGCCTTCTTCCCTGCGTGTGTGTCTTCTTTTTTTTTTTTAATGTTTATTTATTTTTAGAGGGGGGAGAGAGAGAGAGCAGGAGTGGAGGAGGGACAGAGAGAGAAGGAGACACAGAATCCGAAGCAGGCTCTAGGCTCTGAGCTGTCAGCACAGAGCCCGACGCGGGGCTCGAACTCACGGACCGCGAGATCATGACTTGAGCCAAAGTCAGGTGCTCAACTGATTGAGCCACCCAGGCACCCCCTGTGTGTGTGTGTGTGTGTGTGTGTGTGTGTGTCTTCCTACAAGGACACCCATCATTGGATTTAGGACCCACCATAAATTCAGTACGATCTCATCTCAGTGTCCTTAACTAATTTCACCTGCAGAGACCCTATTTCAAAATAGGGTCACCTTCTGAGGTTCTGGTGGGACATGAACTTTAGGGGACACCATTTAATCCCTGTAGCTGCAAAGCCAGAATTTCTGTCAGGATGTTATGCAAAGAAATGCTTGTCTAGTGGCGTCTACTGCTTCAGGAAGAAGGGGGCGGGTAGGGTTGGAGCACACGGCCGCTCACTCACCTGCCTCCCTACTGGAAGGTGGAGGCATCTGCCCAGAGCTAGCAAGGACCTGGGCACGTAAACATGTATTTGCTAGCCCTTGGCCCATGCTTACAGGACTGTGAGCTTGGTCCTAGATCATCTCAGTTTATAGAAGGGTCATCAAGACTTAGGGGCCTTTGCCCCACCTGCAGGGAGAACAGAAGGGGAGCCAAGATGAACCTAGGTCAGCCCAAATCCAGACCCCTGTCCTT